CATTCAAGGTAATCCACCCAAAGATTTCATACCAAATACAGCTCATCTCCTTCAATCCAGTGGGACCAGCCTCTGTTTTTCTTTTCTCCATTCTGGGTGCAGACAAGTTTATCATTGTCCCAAATCACCACACTCTGCATTGGAAGAGAATAGTATTTAATGTTTTAAACCCCAACAAATTAGTTTATTTAAGATGGTGTGGATGGAGGCATTATAAACAGATTTCTAAAAACATTTTAGCCGACATTTTCTACCAATGAAGGCTTCTTGAAACATTTTCAATTATTGTGATAATGACCCTTTAAGAACTCTGGGTCAAGCTAAGATCCACAGAGCCAATTCCTTCCTCTAAAAAAAAAAATCCAGGAGAATAGGACTTCAGTTTTATTTATATTTCATACTTCTCCATGAGGAAGACCAACTGATCCTATTAAATCAGTTATTAATCTTTAATAAGCTGCAGCCTTTTTGCAATGCAAACTGATGTGCTCATAAATCTATTAAAGGAAGTAAAAAAAAAATTCAGCTAAGGAGGTCGAAAGAATTTGGTCTAGTAACATGAAGAAATGTTTGCTATGATTTTGACAATTCTCAGCATATAAAAATCAGACCAAACATTGTCAATACTTTCAAAAGCCCCAAGGAAAAAGTTTTTGAAACACATGGAAATATTTAAAAATATGTTCAGTCAATGCTTATTGCCAAAAATGTTCATTTAAAGTTTTAAAGGTATGGTTTACTTACTCTGCATTTACGGTTGTCCAATCCTTTGCTATCTTCATCGAACTCCTCTCCAATTTTGAACTCAACCAAATAGTTTCTAAAAGTGCTTGTTGTCCTGATAGAAAAGAAATCCTTTTCCTGTTTTATGACCTTCTGGGGCTTCAACAAGTTTGCTATCTTGCGAGTTGCAAAATCTATACCTTTGCAGGACAAAAAAATTACAAATGGGAGTTAAAACAATCTGTCATTACATTAAATGAATGCTGCCTTTCTTGATAGTAGCCAGGTTAACATTATGCATTTGTTTCATACCAGTGCCTCAGTTCCTCAATTCAAATCAGGCAGAATAACAGTTCTGAGTTAGAAGGAACTTTGGAGGTCTTCTAGTCCAACCTAAAAGAGACCCCATACCATTTCAGACAAAGGTTTAAATATTTCAGCCCCTCAAATATTGGAACACTGCTATGTCTCATACATTTTAGCCTTGGGGCCCTTAATTATCCTTGTTGCCCTTCTCTGCTCTTTCCAGAGCCTCAAAATCTTTTTTATAATGGGATAACCAAATCTGAATGCAGTATTCTAAGCACGGTCTTACTAAGGCTTTATAAAGCGGTACTAGAACTTCACATGATCTTGACTCTATCCCTCTGTTAATGCAGTTTAGGATTGCATTGGCTGTTTTTGGCTGCTGCCACACAGTGCAAAACTCAGATTTAAAGTTTCATTCAAAAAAACAAGGCACCTTATTAGAGGTTACTCCCAAATATGACTTTGCACACACAAAAGAAAAAAAATGGGAAGAATGGCAAAGTTATGACAGCTTAAGATAAATCTAACCATCAATCTTAAATTTGTATCTATAAGGATATATGTAGGTTCAATTAACCAAGATAGTTCAAGTAGCATTTCTGTTAAGTGTCCTAGCATGGTTTTGCTTATGGCTTAGATAAGTGCTTCTCAAGATTTTTTTCCCCTTAGTACCAAAACTATCCTTATTTAAATATCCGCGGTTCTTATTAGTATTGGGTTTGTATCATTACTCAAAGGGGAAAAAAACCACTTTCACCCAATTTGGGGTATTTTACCCAAGTTTGATTCATGGCTTGACATGGTTTGCAAAACAGACCAGTGTGGTTTACTCAAGACAGTTTAAATATGGAGTAATATGGGGATTTAGCCACGTGCAAGCAAAAGAAACTGTAGTAAGCTATTTAAGCATTTGAACATGAATCTGAGGCAAAGTTTAAGATATAAAGAATATTTTGTTCCTTGCCTAATTCTACTTCAACCAAGTAAAAACCAGTGCAAATTCTGGGTTAAATCCTGTAATATATAAACCCCCTAGTGTGAAAAAAAAGGCAAAACAAAACTTCCAAGAGATAACTTTATCTTTGAAGGCTGCAGTCACCAAATAAGCATCTTGAAGAGTTCAACCAATAAATCTTAAAAGCTCTGTACTTGCCTAAAGCCAACATATAGCCTTCAAAATTCTCAGACCGGACAAGATTCCAGGTACCATTGAAGTCCACCGGCATGGTTGAAGAGAGGGAGCACCTGAGATGAACACAAAACTAAAAAGGTCCAAGGATGCAAATGAGAAGCTCTCATTTCCCCAGTGCCTTCTTTATATAAGGGGAAGTGGGAAGGACTTACAATAGGAGGTGGGATCTGTTGCAGTTGGGCCCCTAGGGATAAAGTTCAGATCAGCTCTAATCCAGGGTGTAGAGCTAAAGTAACTGTTTCATGAGTCACAGACACAACAAAATTGAAGACCAGAGTTTTTGATGGAGTTTATTTAAAGATCCACGAAGCACAATATAGATAGTTCTTGACTTTACGACAATTGAGCCCCAAATTTATGTTGGTAGGCGAGATAGTTGTTAAGTAGGTTTTGCTCCGTTTTAAGACCTTCCTTGCCTCTATTGTTAAATGAACTGCTGCAGTTAGTAAGTTAGTAACACGGTTAAGTCAATCTGACTTCCCTGTGGACTTTGCCGGTCAGAAGGTTGGAAAAGGGACTCTGGGACTCTGCAACTGTCATAAATACAAGTCAAGATGTAATATGAATGTAAAAAATCTAAGAGGAAAAGACTATAGATATTGTGCACAAGAAATATGTACCAACCGACACACTGTATAATTGAAAGAAAGTTTTATTTGTTGCTTTATGTTTGTTTGTTGTTAAAAATAAAAACTTTTTAAAAAATACAAGCCAAGAGTCCAAATTCTGATCACGTAGAATGCTATAATGGTCGTAAGTGTGGAAAATGGTCATAAATTATTATTTTTCTAGTACTGTTGTAACTTTGAACAGTCACTAAATGAATGTTGTAAGTCATGTCTGTCCTGGAGCTTAACCAATTTATAAATTTATCTTCCTCTAGGATTATTTTATATTCATCCAAGATTGTCACCCACTTGCATTTTTGGCAGTGAATTATGGAAGTAGGTATACACAAAAGGGTTGTGCAGTGTGGTAAACTTGTAAGCCTGGTGCGTGAAGATTAATCCCCTGGCACAATCTGATATGACGACATTTATTTCTAGAAGTCCCCTTGGATTCCTACCAAAGGGGTTTCTCTGCCAAAGATCCTTGGAAACCCCCAAAGATCAGAATGGAGGGGACATCAAACTGCATGAGTAGATTTTGATCCAGCTTAGTGAACCTCCTCCGTCCATTCTTATTAGCAAGATTATTTGGCAAAGGAACCGTTTGTTCAGTAGCAATATATCTCTAAGTATCCGTGTTTGGGGGATTTTATAAGAGGGCAAAAGCAAGAGGGACTCGGTGAATCAGTGGCTAAGACGCTGAGCTGGTCAATCAGAAAGATCGGAGGTTCGAATCCCTAGCGTCGCGGAAGGGAGTGAGCTCCCATTACCTGTCCCAGCTTCTGCCAACCTGGCAGTTCGAAAGCATGTAAAAAAAAACGCAAGTAGAAAAATAAGGACCCCTTTTGTGGGAAGGGAACAGCGTTCCGTGCACCTTTGGCGTTTAGTCATGTTGGCCACATGACCACGGAGACGTCTTCGGACAGCGCTGGCTCTTCTAGATGAGCACCGCCCCCTAGAGCCGGAAACGACTAGCAAGGGGAACCTTTACCTTTAAAAGCATCTGTTCTCACACGCCCCTGGTTAGGGGCTCCCCAAGGATAAAGTGAGGGAAAGAGGTTGCTAGACTTCATAAAGCAATTGACAAGGACAGAGGTCAGCGCAACCTTCTACACAGCGTGCTTCATAACTCAATTTTGTTGTATAAAGGAGGAATGACGCAACCGCTAACCTCTGCTCTGGAATACACGGCTGCCAAAGTTTGCAATCAGTGTTTTTCTCTCTCTCTCTCCCCAGAGATTTTTAAATCTGTGGACGTAAAAGAGATTTCCTTTTGTTAGCCCTGTTATATTGTTCTGGAAACATCTGCAAAAATACTTTGTGGTCAGTGAACTCTAAACACATTTCTGCAAACCGTCCTGGGGCTGCCAAGCCAAATTTGCTTCTTTGTCTTTTGTGTTTCGGTGTCCTCTCTCCTCGTGGTGTTAACCCCAAGTGAACAATTGAATGGCACCGTCGGCTCTCTTTCAGGAGCTTGTGCTGGGCATTTAATCAAATCTTAACTGCCCTCCAGGAGCTCCCAGCTCTTTCTAACTGGAATATGAGCTTCCCATGGAGTCCAAACACACCCCTTGTCGAGAGAGAAACAGAAACTGGGCTCAGACATAGCCACAACTTATCACATAAATCATAATTGTGTGGCTGGCTTAACACACAGTGCTACAAAGCTTGTTTTATCAGTCACAACCGGTTTCGTTCATTTGATCTGAGCCAAGAGACACCGGGATCCAGTGATCTTGGTGTCAGCTTTGGGTACAAACCTGCACAGGTAGTCCTTGACTGACGAGCACAACGGAGTCCCAAAATTTCTGTTGCTAAGCGAGACAGCTGTTAAGTGAGTTTTGCCCCCCCCCCCGTTTTTACGTCCTTTCTGGCCATGGGTAAGTGAACCGCTACAGTTAAATTAGTAACACTGTGGCTTCCCCGTGGCTTGTCAGAAAGTTGCAAAATGTGATCACTTGACCCCAGGAGGCCGCGACCGTCATAAATATGAGTCGGTTGCCAAGCGCCTGAATTTTGACCACGGATGCTGCAATGGTCGTAAGTGTGAAAAACGGTCATAAGCCCCCTTTTTTTCCGTCCACCCTAAGCTAGGGACCCCTTCGCAATCCCTGCAGAAAATGACAACACCGATTTGATTTCTGATTACACTTCACCACATTTATTATTATTTTTCCCATCCACAGAGAAGGGTATGTGTTGATTTTGTGGTACATTCAGATTGTGATTCTATTATCAAGTTCAGGATTTATACACACACATTTTTACAAACAGCATTATGATCTTTAAGGGTAGGTTTTTGTAGAGGGAATCAAAGTGCAGTTATAGACGATGTGCATAAAGGACTTTTTTGTTAACAGCTAAAATATGGAGAGAAAAAAACACTCAAACATTTCAAAGGAAAATATCATATAGGCACACACAAACATCATATCTAATTTGTAAATAAAGAGAAAATAATCAGAAATGACAACATTGATGAGGGTAGGTTTTTATAAAGGTGTTTCTTATTCCAGCATGTATTTTTTCTTTCACGCTAAACAGAACCTGTCACTGCCCTGTCAATCTTCACTCATCATAGCCGAGTTTGGGTTTTCTTTATTTCTTGTTATTCCTTTTTTCCCCTCTGCCCTATTTCCAGTAGTTTTTTTTTTTTTAATTCATATTACATGGCTGAATTTTTAAAAAAATTCAAATTAGCTCCTTCCCTCTGGGGCAGAAATTTGAGCAGCAAAACTTATTGCTTGTTTCTTACTTCTAAATCAACAGTTCTCTGACTCAATCTAAGTAGGGCAGTGTTTTCCGAACATGGCAACATTCAGATGAATGGACTTTTAACTCCCACAATTCCTTGAGACAGTCGTGTTGGCTGGGGAATTCTGGGAGTTGAAATCCACCCATCTTAAAGACGCCAAGTTTGAAAAACCCTGAGTTAGGGGATGGAAAAAAAATCTTGGGATATATACAATGAGCTGCTGAGTGGAAACCACAGAAGACAAACCTGGTTTGGCAGTTTACAGAGATATAAAACAACTCTGGTCTGCCACTGGCCTGGCGGGATAGACCACCTTTGAACTGCTAAGGAGTTTTATCTTCCTGATGGCCAAAATAAACCCACTGACATGATCAATCTGCATGGCTCACATGATTGCATGCTCTAACCATAATTTCAAAAAAAAAAAAAAAATATCCATGCTTGTTGAAAACTGATATGTCACAGTGAAGGTTTGCCTAGTATTTGTTATCTGTGTGGGAAAGGGTGGTTGTTGTTTTTTTTAATGTAGGCTTATTAACCATCCAACGCAGCTAAAATAAACCATGATAGGCCTAGCATTTTAAAAAGTTACATTCTCGGGTCACCTTAGCAGACAAAGATGGTTTCAAATGTCCACAGAGTTTAACAATGATGGCTCAGATTTACAACTAAATACTATACTGTGTTATTTGACGAGGCACTTAAGGTGGGATCACCCCCAGACCCTGAACGGTGCATTTCAAGTGAGCCAGAGTACAGTACTGGGAAATCTGGGTGAGGTAGGACTCATTGGAGTAAACTTCTTTTTCTCTGAAGATATAAGCCTTCACATAAGTGCTTTTTTAGGGAAAGAATCTGGCCCATTTAATAGTACTCTCCGTTTCTTTCGGAGCCCCTGTCTCTCACTGCCTCCCAAAATTGGAGCAAGGGCTAAAAACAGGACCTCATTAAGACTAAGAAATGAGGAGCGGGCCTCAGGCGCACACAAGAACCGCCATGCAGAGGTACCAACCATCGCTTCAAAGCCGAGCTGTTATCTGTGGCTTCCCAGATGCACCAGTTCTGTTTGAAACCAGAGCTGGACGCCAAAGCTAGCTTTCAAACAGTGTTTCAGTCTGCTCCGAATGGTGGACAGAACAGAGCTAGGAAGCAGATCGAGGGCTGAGTTGCTGCCATTCTAGAACCTCTCGGTTGCCTTTGCAGAAGCTCAGGGTTGAATTCACCAGTTTTCTGCCAGTCACAAATAACCAGTTTGTGGTTATTTGGGCCGGTAAGCCGATCGCTTTCCGAAATTCAAACCGGGCATGCAAAGGGATTCCACTAGAGAGGAGACAGCATCTAAAACTGCAGCCAGCTTTCCAATCTGCCCCTATTCCTGCTCTCTCTTCTCCCCACCCACTCCGTCCTTGTGCCAATCAATTTTTGATGGGCTCTTGGGCATATCTCTGCAAAGGAGCCAAGACAATGCCTGCATTCTGGTCTTCGGTCTCTACAGTGTACAGATTGTGCTGTTTGATGTAGGACTGAACCAAATCAGGCACCAGGTACCGTATGCTCTGCCCCCTCCTGAGGGCTCTCCGTATCTTGGTGGCCGAGATGTCGTTGGTGATCCATTCCTCCACCAGGTCGATGTTCTCCTTGTGCTTCCACAGCGTGTCCGACTCGTAGATGAACTTCTGGGCGTGGTTCCCCAGCCTGGTAACGCAAACCATGCCGTGCTTGGAGACGATTTCCTGGATATCTTCTGGTTTCCAGAGGCTGGGCACCGCAAAGGATTCCAGAAGATCCGTTCCACACAGAATCTTCAGCTGGGGGAGGCCTGGAGGAGACAGGGCAGATAGGGAAGGAAGCTGGATAGCAGAGCACCGGGCAGAGAAACCAGCAACATTTCGCTCCCCAAAGGTACCAATTCTGCAGCAGTAAATGAGGAATCTGCCATCTGCTGATGATGATGCAGAGCTGCCTCCAACCGGAGATGAGAGGCATATAAGTGTAATGAATAAATAAATAAAACCAATCATTGCTACAAGTGCAATGGCCACCAGACCAGCCAGGCCAACACTGATGGTAGGTTCAGCTTCAGGGAAGAGTTTTGTTATTATTATTTTAATTGAAAGCATCTTTCTTGCCCAGGGCAGTGAAAGCATTTTCAAATCAGCTCTGGCACACTGGATTGTGTCAAAATTAACTGCAGAGAGCGTGTATTAGAATTAACAAACCAAGTAAGTGAATGATCCTGTGCTCCATTTTAAAATTAATCAAGGCTAGGATTCCAAGGGGCTTATCTTTGGAAAGATAAGCCGACGGGAATTTAATTATGAAGAGGATTGTAGGGTACGGTAACTGGCTGGGAATATCAAGCCGAAAGTTAACCAGCCATCTAGAGGGAGACTGTAAGCTGCTGCTTGAAGATCCTGAATAGAGGACAAGGTTGAACTCAGTTGTCTCCTAAAGTCTAAATAAGAGGGGGTCAATCTTGTTGACTTTAAAACCTGTTGACTTCAAGTCCCAGAATTCCCCAGCCAGCCACGGGAATGCTGGGAGTTGAAGTCCACAGGTCTTAAAGTCAACAAGGTTGGACACCCCTGCTTTAAATGTTCTGCCCCCTGTGGTTTGGAAAGACAACTCACATTTTCGTTTGGGTTGATTCATTCTAACGGGGAGTTGGCTCCCCGCTGCCCGCTTCCTCTTCCGGCTCGTTTTGTTTGGAATTTGAGCATCTTCCATGCTGTTGGCAGAATAGGAATGCTTCAACTTCTGGTGGTGATATCTAGAGAACAGCATTGAAAAAAAGATACACTCGTAAAATATACACAGCAGCATGGCAATACTGAAGTTCTTTTGATCATTTAAACCCCTGTTTTATCCAGGGGCACGGTGCTGGGCAGAAGCGTGGGAGGTAAGATCTCTTCTCCCAAAATTGTATCCTGTATCAGAGTACATATAAGCTGATAAGCTATCATGTAAGCTGATATGTACGTCTAGTCTAATGAAGAGAAGGTGACATGATGCAGTCTTCCAATATTTGAGTGGCTGTCACAAGAGGGAGTCAGTCAATATTCCAAAGCACCAGACAAGAAACAACGGGTGGAAACTAATCAAGGAGAGAAGCAACCTAGAACTAAGGAGGAAATTCCTGATGTTTAGAACAATTAATCAGTGGAACAGCTTGCCACCAGAAGTTGTGGGTGCTCCATCATAGTCGTCTTTTAAGGAGAGACTGGACAGCCATCTGTCTGAAATGGTAGAGGGTCTCCTGCTACAGGCCCTATACCAGTGGTGGCTAACCTTTTTGGGCTCGTGTGCCAGCACCCAGAAGGCAATGTGCGCGCCCCCCACGCCTGCGCTTGAAGAAAGCCTCTGCAGGCCGAATAAATGGCCCGTTTCGTCACTTCTGGTATTACAGGAAGTGATGAAACGGGCCTATTATTCGTCCTGAAAAGCCTTGCGGAGGCTTTTTCCAAGCCTCTAGAAGGCCAAAAAAGGCCTGAAACCAGCCGAAAAATCAGCTGGGAGCCACGCGCATGCGCAGTGAGGTTAAGTTTGCCTGCGGCTCGCGTGCCGGCACAAATGGCTCTGCGCGCCACTTGTGGCACACGTGCCATAGGTTCGCCATCACGGCCCTATGCCATATATAATGGTAATTAGGGTTGGACTAGAAGACCTCTAAGGTCCCTTCCAACTCTGTTAGGCTGTAATTCTGCTTGCAATCCGGTCCCACAGCTGCCTATTAAAAAGAGTCTTAACCGAGACACACTGGGACCCAGAGTTTACCGGTGTGATGGGCTGAGAAACTCTGGACAAACTGCCACGCCGTGGCTCTCCTGAGGGAAAAATGCCCATCCCCGACCAATACCTGAGGACGTTGATGGTTTCTTGCCACTCTTTTTGGCTGCTTTCCCAGTCATCGACTTCCAGCCAGTCTGAGTTTTCTGTCGCGAGTCTTGCCATGGCCAGCCGGTGACTGGCACTGATCAGGCCCTTCTTCAGGTAGGCGTCCCCCACTGGCGAAATGATCCCTTTCACCACTTTGTATTTCCCTGCGGGAGCCGAGGCAGACAAAGCTGTGTGTTGCTGTCATTGGAGGGCCCACCCAGGATCAGAGAAGCTTGGATTAAGCCACCATTTAGCAATAAAGCTCCCTGGGAAACCTGGGACCAATTTTTTTTTCTCTCTCTCTCTTCTTGCTTTAAATTACCAGCATTCGAACAAGCATGGGTTATAAGGTGTTCCTTAAGTGACATAAGAGAAGGGAAGGAGGGAGGGAGGGAGGGAAGACTGGAGTTTAAGAGGGAGGGAGGGAGAGAGGGAGGGAGGGATGGAAGGGAGGAAAGAAAGGAAAGGAAAGAAGGGGAAGGGAGGGAGGAAAGAAGGAAGTCTGGAGTTTAAGAGTGAATGATGGAGGGAGGGAGGAAGGAAGGAAGTCGAGTTTAAGAGTAAATGAGGAAAGGAAGGAGGGATGGGAAGGAAGGAAGGGGGAGAGAGGAAGGAAGGAAAGGAAGCCTGGAGTTTAAGAGTGAATGAGGGAGGGAGAGAGGAAGGAAGGAAAGAG